CATGTAGATGCCCAGTTTACCCAGCACCACTTTTTGAAGCCGCTTTCGTTGCTCCAGCTCATATTTCTTACTCCTTACTCAGAGGTTAAATGATCATACATGTCAGGGTCTCTGTCCGGATTTTCATCTCTATATCATGGATCTGGGGTTTGCTTTTTTTCAATGTCATGCTCCTTTAATTCCTACAATTTTGTCCTACATTTTGAAATTGGGGAAAGTGATGCTTCACATCTTTTCCCGAATAATTGCTGTAATTAGTCGTAGGGTGTATTGTTTCATATGAATTTCGGAAGTGTTGGACCTATTTCTTTATTATGGGTTCAGCTCCCTGCTAGGTCTCTACTGTCCTTATAATTGATTGGAACGGGGGTAGCCCAGAATATTAAACTGGTTAACACACGTGTTTTAATTCAGAAACAATGGCAAAGTCTCCTTACCCCAACCGCACAACCAGAAAATTTTTTAAAATTAATTTTAAAATTATTTTTGTATTTATTTTTTAATTTAATTTAATTTTTATAACTTTGTTCATAATAATTTATTAAATTTAATATTCCAACTCCATTGCTACCACCATTACACTCTCCCACCACCATATTTTGAATGTTTCCATGCTGACCCCCAAAACCTGCCCCTAGAGCAGGACTTAAATCATTTATTTTGTATTGCTCGTTATGAATAATCCACTAAAAGTGATCCAAAAAAGGTTTCATAGAGAACATGTGTAAAGATTGTTGTACTTTCCCCTGATTCATTATGCCCTTATATGAGATATAAGAGATTGCTAACATGTTGTTTAAGGATGAAACTTGTGTACATATACGTTTGTGTATATGTGTGTGTTTGTGCGTGTGTATTTTTCTCCACGAGAAAGGTTACCTTCTCTTTGCACTCCATCCAATGTGGTGTGCTACTCTTGGTACATCAGTGCTGTAGAGTATGAGGTGTCACAGAGCCACAAATGTGGCCTGTATATCCCATGTGTCCCCCACCAGCACAATCAGGAAATTCATTATTTCATTAATACTCATCCTTTCTCCTGTATAACTTAGATGACTGCCCTGTTTGCCAATATTAATCACCATTGCTACACTGAAAATACCTCTCAGTTTATCACTTGATCACTTGATATCCCGTTACTCATCGATTAGCTTGAGCGGGCACAGTAACATCTCCATTCGTCCCTGTTCTCCAGGTGTTCAGGTTTGACCTTGTGTGGGCCAGGTGCTCTTTGTTTCTTTACCGACAAGATAACATGTTGGATTTCGAAAGCGAGAACGTTGGGAACAACATATCCATTCTGTGGAATTTGGTATGTGGGCAGGTGGATGTGGCTATTAAAGAGATCTGTTGGAAGTCATGAATAATCTTCTTCGTTGCCTTTATGTAAGATGTGATAGATCCATCAGGACATCGGAGGGCAGTCATCTTGGTCTTGTACTTGGTGAAGGACAGGCGAGCATTATGAATGCTTTTCCTGACTTAGGCCGCATCTATCAGCACTGCTGCTCTTCTCTCATTGAGGTCTTCCTTGATCGCTTCTCTGCACTGCTTTGTGAGTTTGGACGTTCGCTTTCGGTTGCTTGAGGCATGCGCCAAGCCACGTTGGCGAATAAGATCAAGAGTTTTTGAAGACAGGCCTTTTTTTGTGGTTATCTCTCTCTTGGCATTCCTCGCACAATCATGGAGGTGCTGAACCAATCAATCATATTCCTCGTCAATGTTGTCAATGACAGCATCTTCCCGTGTTGCCACAACAGACCAAAGAGCTCCAAGTTCGTGGTCATTCTGGCAGTTCTCTTCTTAAACTTTGCATTCCTTTCTCCCCACTCTGTGAATTAGAATTTTGCATGAAGGAGATGGTGGTCTGGTCCTGTTTGGAATTTTGGGATAACAGTGACATCAGTCAGGAAAAACCGTCGATTGAATGTGATGTGGTCCATTTCATTGTGGAACTGTCCACCTGGAGACTCCCGTGTCCAATGTTTAGATTTGGCCTTCTGGAACTGTGAGTTACATGGTAATGGATGGTCTTGGTCGACCTGATGAACTCTGTGTAGAAGTCATGAATAATCATGTCATGCTGTTTGCTCCATTCTAGGCCATGGGTCCCGATGTGGAGTTCTTCAGCTGATCTTCTAGGTCATATCTTGGTATTAAAATCACTGACAATGATCTCAGTTTAGAGAATTTCCAATTTTTATTATATCCCTAGAAGTGATTTTAATATCTAGGATGGGTGTTTGTTGACTGATCTGTTTGAAGTAGAGAAATTTGAGATGAAACTGAATGGATTGAGAGACCTGACTGATGGCAATTCTGAAGAACACCAAAGACTTGCTGGTGATGTTATTGACAGACGGAATTGGAAGACACAGAACAGAGACCATGGAGGAGTTGAAGGAGAGAGAGATCGGATAAAGGCAGAGTCATACTGAGGGATTGGCTGATTATAGGTAAGGGGTGAGAGCGAGACACACGGGGTGACCGCTGCTGTGTGTCAATAGGTAACCCATGAAGGCAGAGAGTATGTGCGTTAGAACTGAGACTGTGGAACACCAGGAGATTAGTAGATCTCAGAATGAGTCATAGGAATGGAGGAAAATGAGGTGAGAAATTGTGGTTCATAGGAACCTTGCTGGAATGTTCAGTGTTCACTGTGGAAGCGACTCTCTATTACCATGTGAGCTATTCCCTGTTTCACTGTCATCCCGTTGTTCGTCGATTTACTTGAGCAGGCACCAGTAACATCTCTATAACTTCTCTATTCATCCAGTCCTGAGATTTTAGCAGCCTCTCCTTACTCATCCTTCTCAACGATTGGAGGCTCTTTCAGGGTCAGGGGAATGATACCTGTTATAGTTACTGGTTTTGGCATATCGAATACAACACGGGGAGCTTGCCAGGCTCTGCCCAGGCGGGCGGGATACTCTTGGTAGCTTGCTAGGCTCTCTGAGAGGTATATAATATAGTTCTCTATGATTAGTTGCCTACTGTATGAACCCCATCAAACATGGTATGGTAATTATGGAAAATGATTAGGATGTGTATTATGAAAGTGATCAGAAAGCAGCTTGAAGAGTGGCGGTGGTTGGGTAGTGGAGGTCGACTGCCAGGGCTGGATCCCTTGGGGTGGGGAGGGCCCTCGATTGGCCCTCTCTAGGTGCATGGAGTGAAAACAGGCTGGCATGGTTTCCCGTGAGCTATTTATTCACATCATATGGTGGATATTTTAGCTTGCTACCTAGTACTGTTATTTTCTCTTTAATGCTGGTGTTTCTTCTACTGTTATTTTCTCTTTAAATCTGGTCTTTTTCAGGCCAGCAAAGTTAATGAAGGTATGCGCTTTTGTAGTGACGCTTGCGTTACCTGCATGCACACACGTTCACACACAAATATGTAGTAATTGAGATGCTGCTATTCCCAGCATGTATCTGGAATCTGCTATCGTCACAGTACAAAGCTGAGACGTTCCATTAACATTGGCGCGGGCAATGCCTGGTCCCACCCAAGAACAGCGAGTCCAGGTCCTGCTCCCCGGGGAGTCTGGGGACCCTTTTCTGATGTAAAGCCTCAGGCCCAGGACTGAGGAGGGCGCTGAGGAGCTCCAGGGTCCCTTATCAAGGATAAACCATGTTCATCTGAAATTCAGGACAAGGACTGTTACCTGTGACCAGTTGTGACCTAACTGGGTTTGATACTCTTCCTAGGTCACTTGAGGAGAGACTGCTCCCTATGCAAGGATGCCACTGGGGGTTGCTTTTGTGCAGAAGAGTGTGTCAGTGGGAAAACCCATCATCATTGAAGAATGATAACTGGGCCCACGCTGTAATGGAACATCTCTCTCTCTCTTAACCTGTGCATACATGGGATACTACTGCCATGTGTATCCCATGACTGGGAATCACTCACCTGGCCTATCTGTGGGATGGATCATGGGCTCATCATTTGTTGTGAAGTGGACTCTAACAACAGAAGTGACCTCCTTTGTGATTTCTGGTGGAAAAAATTGCAGACAAAAGGAGGCTACAGAGAAACCTATGGTGGATACATAGTGCTGAAGTGATGAAGAGAAGGAGGTAAATGAAGATGATGCGTTGCTCTGACCATTATAAACCTCATTTCTCAGCATGAAGGACAAGTGCCCTCAGCACCCTGGGGACGTCATGTCTTAATCCATCTGTTGTCTTGTGAATACCAGGAGACAGATGTATGACTCATTGAAGGAAAAACGTGTAAGCACATGTGATATAGAGAAAACCCCTCCAGGAAAGCAAAACAACAACAACAACAACAACAACAAAAGGAATAAAAAATAATACTTAACAGGCATGCTTATCTTGTGATTCCTAAGTTACAGTCTTTCTTTGGCATAGTCCAGTCAAGTAAACGTGCCTTATCAAATTTGGAGATATCAATGGAAGGCGCAGAGTCAGGAACCTAGAAACGTTGCCTGGAGAGACCTTAGATGAGAGGCAGGAAACTAGTCATCCATCAGGTCTTGCTTCTCTGAGATGTTTTCTCTAGGCACTCCCTGCTGGTCGTGTTCTCTGAAGTCCACACTCTCCCAGCAGGGAGGTTTGTGTCTGGGTTTACCCTGACTTCCTCTCACTGTGCTTCTCGCACAGTAATACACGGATGTGTCCTCGGGGGTCACTAAGCTCAGCTGCAAGGAGAACTGGTTCTTGGAGGTGTCAGCCGTGATGGAGATGCACCCCTGGAACGCTGGGTTGTAGTTGGTACTACTAACATACCAGTACCCCATCCATTCCAACCCTTTCCCAGGGCGCTGGCGGATCCAATGCCAATAGTAACTGCTGGTGACAGAGCCCCCAGAGACAGAGCAGGTGAGGGAGAGGGTCTGGGAGGGGGCCATCAGTCCTGGACCCGACTCTTGCAGGGTCAGAGCACACACAGCACCTGGGGACAAGAAGAATCAGTCACTGTCAGTCCCTGCAGTCACTCCCTCCCCTAGACCGTGACACAACTGGGACACTCACCCAGGGGGGCTGTCTCCAGGCAGAGGAGAAGACCCCACAGAATCATCTTATTGACCACAGCTCTGCCTTCCCCAGAGACTCAGCCCTGAGTGAGGAGACACCTGTGAGCTCCACAGCCCAGAGCGCATTTGTCCCCAGAGCCTGAGAGGTATTTGCATGAGGTTACCCAGTCTGTTATAAGGGGAAACTTTCTTACCTTGGACTCCTTGTCCCATTGGGGCACTGATCTCACACATTCTGTTTGGTGGATTGAACTCTTGGCAATGAAGCGCATTAAAACAGGTCATAGGAGGCTCCTCACTTATTTAATAATCTGTCTTAGAGAAGTTAAAATTATCACAATCATTTCAATTTCAAGTTGCTAATGAAAATAGTTTGTATTGTTTATGTTTCAAAAATCTTTTAATATAACTACCATTTAGAATATTTATAATCATAATTGTAGTTAACTTTGCTTCATATCTGTTTCTCTATAAAATAATTTTCATTTTCATTTCATTTCATCATCCTGTTAATCGTCGATTGCCTCGAGCAGGCCCCAGTAACGTCTCTTTCATCCTAGCCCTGAGATTATATTCACGGCTCTTTATTATCTCATTCCTACTTTGGACAATAAAATAATATCCAAACAAAAACTGCCCTTCCCAGTACTCATTTCTTTCTTTTTTAAAAAAATTTTTATTAGTGAGATATCACAAGGTACAGTTGTAGACTTACAAATTTTTGTGCTTGGGCTTCAATTATACAATGATCAAATACCCATCCCTCCACCAATGCCCATTTCCATAAAGAAATTTTCACATAGTGGTGTATGGTGCCACCAGCAGTCAATCTGTACCTGTGAGGTGAGTACATCAACAGCCTGATAGCACCTTCAGATGTCCAGACACCCCAAAATTGCTGCTGTGCCTTTGGCCAGACCAACAACCTGGGGCCAAGTTTGCAAAGAAAGTAAACAGCTAAAAGTTAGGTATGTGGGAGACACAGCCACAAACCACCTCAGATATATTATTGGGAGCAAGACCTCTCTAGTTACTGATCGAACTGCTTAACGGCCATGATCCCAGAGACTCAGAGACAAATCTCAGAACCCAGCAGTTTTTGGCAGAGATGTGTCCTGTCCACAAAGTAGGTTACCAATGCCAGGTCACCCCAGGTGGAAAAGGGTGCTATCCCTCTGCCTGCTCCCCCTTGGCCACTCGGTGGCTGCCATCTTTGAGAGGCCGTTGTACAGTCAGGTTTGGGCCAGCATTGACAAGTCACGGGGCCTCACGGTATAGAGTTGAAACCGGCCCTTTCTCCCTGCCCCAGTGAGACCCCAGGTTGCTGCCCATGAGTGGCCTCTCTGGTTTCTGATCAAGCTGCTTAACGGCCATGATCCCAGAGACTCAGGAACAAATCTCAGAATCCAGCAGGTATTGGCAGAAATCCCTCCAGATTTAATTGTTAAAATTTTGGAATTCCAAAATTGCTCGGCCATTACAGTGTCTGTGTGACATCATGTGTTATTCATAATCAGCAATAGAAAACAAATTGTCTAATGTTGACTTTTTCAGCAGATCTGAGTGTTGGGGTAAAATCCCAAATAATAATGGTGGGTCTGGTGTTGAAATATTGAATGTGAACAAAATAGATAGAGTAACGTGGAAATTATCTGCCCCACAGGTAGGTGGAGTGTGTGGGATGGGGTGTAAACTGGGGTTTTTGGTGGTGGAAAATGGACACTGGTGAAGGGACGGGTGCTTCATCATTGTATGACCGAGACTTAAACCCGAAACCTTTGTAACTGTTTTCATGGTGATTCAATAAATTTATAATAATAAAGGGGGGGAAAAGCAAGGTGTTTATGCCCAATTCAATTAGCCTAATCAATGGCTGAATAAATAGCAATACTCCTACATTGAAAAAAAAAGAAATTATGATATGGTTGCATCTGATAATTGTTTACAAAGTACATAGTTTATTGAAAATTCCTGTTTGAGTTTTATTTTTGTATTTTTGTTTTAGGGCCACAGTCAGTAATGCTTGGTGGTAACTCCGAGTTTTGCACTCAAGCATTATTTCGGTAATTGGCTGTTTCATTCGGGGCAACCCGAGTGGGGCGGGTGAGGTCCCAATGGATCCAGTTCCGGCAGCTGAAAATCTCTAGAATTCAATTCATGCTCAAAGCCACTTCCCATACGCTTGGATGGTCCTCACCCAGGAGTGAATCTATTCCTGAACATTGCACAATTTACACCACCAATATATCAAGAGTATCACACGAAATTTGATAAGGTTTAAAGTAAAAGGCAACCATCTCAGTGGGAAATATATTTCTACAAATGTCTATATAAAGTAAACAAGGCTCAACCGTCAACAACACGTTACTAATGTATTATAGAAGGGTTTAATGACTCCTGGGTGAAATACAATGATCTTCAAACACTTTCGTCTAAGAAATTTATTTGTCCCATATTTAGTGGATTACTCATAACAAGCAATACAAAATAAGTTATTCTGGTTCTGCTTTGGGGGCAGGGTTTGGGATTCAAAATGGAAATATGGTAGTGGGAATGTGTAATGGTGGTGAGATTTATGTTCGGATATTAAATGTAATCATATATTGTGAACAACCTTATAAAAATAAAATTTTCAAAAACAGTCACTTCTGTCAGTGATCAGGGGAACCATACGGGATGCTGGGGATGACCCCAATTGGCGAGGGCAAGGCCAGCACCCTATGAATTTTACTATCACTCTGGCTCTCTGATTTTTGCATTTTGGAGTTGGGGTCTACCGTGCGTTCTCATGAGGCAGACATTTGTCATAGTATATATTTAAACTATTCATATGCTTCCTTTTAATTTTTCATGGAACCTGTAGTTTTTCTAACTTTCAAAAATAAATCTACAACTGCCACATCTCAATGTTTCCACTGAAGTCACTCTGCTTCTGTCCGTATCTGCACATCTTTTATATCTATCAGAGCTTGGGTATCCCTGCTCAGGGGTCCTGCTGTTCCCACCTTTGTCACCCTCCATCAGTGCCATGGTTGGTTCTATTGCTCTGTAAACCACTAATTAATTGACCTTACACTGTTTGTTAAAGCATCTCTCTCCTCATGGTGATGCTACAATCCAAGCCTGAGGATTTTGTGAGCTATTAGGTGTGCTTGGGCCTTCTGTGGTAGTGTTTCACTCATGAGCCCAGTGGGCTGATGTTGGAGTACAAGGAACTTAGGTTTGTCGGGTTACACCCATCACAGTGCTCCTGAGTCATTCCCATTACTTTGTCTGTAACTGCTTCTTTGTGCTCTCTTCCCCAACCAATTTGTAAGGTCTCATCTTTCTAAGTCACTGAAGTTGTACTGTAAGTTAATATTGCCTTTCTCCTCTCCTTATGTCTTTTGAATAGTCTACTTTAATAAAAATGTCCTTTTTGTATACAGGAAGACAATATTATGTTTTGTAACTTAGGAGTTGATTGGCTTTGAATATTATTCACTCCCGGCCATCTGCCTTCTCAACTTAAGCCTCAGTTGTCCTCACTTCCTAGCACCCCCAAAACCAGGGTCTCGACGTGAGACTGGATGGAACCAGGGCAAGCCAGTAAGTTATGTGCTACCCTGACATCGAGATGGGCCAGGCCAAGGTGACACGATTCTTAACTATAGGTTAAGAGTTTGATCATAGGCAAATGCTGTCATGATCCAAAAGTAACGAAGAGACTAGGACCCTGCTAAGAATAGGAAAGATATCTGGCCTGAGTACTGCAATCTGAGATCGAGATGGCCCTAGGAGAGCAATTCCTGAACACAGAGCCAGGAATAAGACCTCAGAACTTCTGGGTGTGGCTCAAAACCAAATCAAAGGACCCATAAAAGAATACGACTCGTGAACAAGGCTGAAGTCCAAGAATCCAATCCTGTGTTAGAGATGCCAAGAGGTTAATGCCCCTGAGAGCACTGAGGCTCTCCTTGCAAGGTGGGGACCGGGTTTCAGGGGGCGCCAAGTCCCAAGAGCACCGAGTGGCAGGCTAGAAGGTTTGCAGAGATGGGGGGAAATGGGTGCAGAGAGGCAGAAATCTTTTCAGCATGGATTTTCTTCTTCGCTAAAACTAAATTTTGCTTTCTCAAGAAAACCAAAATTAAAATACGTATAGGAAACAGAATTTAAATTGTGCACACTTATTATTTGGGGAGGAACATTTATCATATTGATAAGACAGTAAAACCTGTATGCAGGGGGTGTTTCTGGACTTCTTAATATCTCCAATGGAAATCATTGGGGCATTAGGATGGTTTTGTAGTCTCATTGTGGCATCCCTTGGGGAGTTACAGGATCCCAGAAATAACCTCAAAGCCCAGGTGTGTCCAGATATGTTCAGGCCATACAGTTGTGGGGGGCCTGAGCGTCAGGTCCTGACAGGCCTTGGCCCCCTGAGGGGGAGCTCTGTGTGAAAAGAGTCCTGGGACAGGGCAGGATCTCAACTCCTCAAACAAGGGTTAGAGCGTGGACCTCTTCACTCCCCTAGAGGATGGAACGGGTGGTTTTCATCAGCCCCTTCTCAGGTTGGACCAGGATTTCAGTTATGAATTCTCCCTCCTCATGTATATGCAAATTATGCAAGAGACACTGAGTTAAATACAGATGTGTCTGTGTCCTGACAACCTCACACAGCAGGCACTCCCACACCTTCAGAAGCCCTTGAGTGCACAGTCCCCACCATGATCTGGACCTGGAGAATTCTCTTCCTGGTGGCAGTGGCTGCAGGTGAGTGTCCCCATGCCTTGGGTTGAGGGAACGGGGCCAGTCAAGTGGAGTCCACGCACTCCTGTCTGCTGTCTACAGGTGTGAACTCCCAGGTGCAGCTGATTCAGTCAGGGGCTGAGGTGGGAAAACCTGAAACATCAGTAAAGATCTTCTGCAAGGCGTCCTGATAAACCTTCACCAGCTACTGGAGAACTGGGTGCGGCAGGCCCCAGGACAAGGGCTCGAGGGGATGGGAAGGATACTCCCTGATAATAGTAATACAAACTACACACAGAAGTTCCAGGGCAGACTCACAATCACTGTAGACAAGTCCA